ATGTTGTGATATGTTTGGATTTTTTTGAAGCATTTTCTTGTGCTTGATTCTGCTTCTGGGTTTGTTCCCTCATGGTTGATGCACTTATTGTAAGTCACTTTGGATAAAAGCGTCCTCTAAATGAAATGTAATGTAATGATATATGTAATTGATACCACTCATTAATGCATTTCACCTTTTTGCACCTACATATATGTCTGTGCATCCTTTTTTTCTTTTTTTGTGTGTTTAAAGTTTTATTTAACTTAAGAACAATTCAAATTAAATGAAAATGAAAATATATTTTCTATAAGTGTGCGGTCAGTGCCAAGTCACAGTTTAGAAATGTTAAAGTAAAACTCAGATTTCAGCAGCAGATACAGTGAGTCTGTATCTTCATGACCTTTACTGAGTTTCTGAGAGCTGCATGTTGGTATTTATGTCGGTTTGTATCTGAGGCGCTTGCTGGCTTTGTTTTATGTGGCTCTGCTTCCTGAAACCCACCAGCAGAGCCCCGACTGCCAAACTCAGTCATGCTCTCACGTTCAGGCTGGATTACCTCACAACAGTCTGAGTGTTGGCTCCTGTGCACAGGTTCTGCTCCGGATAGGATAATCCCAGCATGCATCACAGGGAGGCTGCATCGTCCAGAGGATGCCATTTAGAGCTAGCATGTTAGCAGATGTTTCTTATACACATCTTCTGCTCCAAACACTGCTGCGGACGGGAGAAAAAAGATGCTGCTGCTGTTTTACTCCTGACATTAATATAATCAGACTAAGAGCGTTGAATCAAAAAGGCCACAAGGCTTTGAGGCAGTGTGGGGAAACAAACAGATGAGACCTTTTTATTTCTCATTAGGTGGAGATGAACTGAAAAGGGCAGAGAGGCGGTGCGGTGCGTTCAGGGACTGTTGTCAAATATTGAGAATGATTCTTGACGTCAGAATAGAGGAAAAGAAAAATAGTTCAAGGAAAAAAAGTTTGTATGATGAAGTAGAAGAGTGAACTTTTGAGAAGGTTTTGTTCACTAACAAAGGCTTTATGTAATTATTAATAATATATCATATTGTATATTAATTCCT